TACACTGTTAAATATCATATTTTGCTTTTCCTCATTGTTCATCAGCTGTTCCGTGCCAGAAAATAGTTGTGAATTAGTCTGCAATGAAAACATATAAATAATTTCTTTTTATTGCCATATGTACACAATGAATTCGTATATTTCTTTTATATAACATTTCTAACTTACATATTCTTGCAGCGCAACTACAGCAAAGGAAATTGCCCTCTCAGATAATGTCATTACATTTTTTAAATTTGTCAAATCGTTTAATGAAAGTTTTTGATGTTGTGTCTGAAAATTTCTCCTAGACGCCTTAGTAGTTATGATTTCCAAAAGGTTGGCTGTCGACCCGTACTGTTGCTTTGGCAGGCTTGTCGATGCCTGGCATGGCATTATTCGTGCATAGTTGATGAAAACGCAGAATAATAATAAAAAGTGCGTATTCATCTTTTTTTGTATTGTTGGCCTCTAAGTGTCTTTCTTCATTTCAGATTGATGTTGAGGAAGCCCCTTTTATAGGTAGTTATTAGGTACTCAGAAACGAAAGAAGGGATGTCCCAACCTCCGCTCCCGTTACATGAAGAAATATTCCTATGTTACATGTTTGATGACTCTATCAGACAGAGTCCATTGTAAACCTGGGAAATTTAATGCTTAGTTACTATATTTAATATTTAGACCATTGGATGGAGAAGAAGTCGACATTTAACTTAATGGAGAGTCACAAAACGCACCAAATTACATCCACCAGGATTGTTTATTTTGGAGATGAACGCTGGCCCGAGAAGAAGACATTGGTCAAATTTTAGCCATTGATAAGAAATTATATATTTTATATCTTGATAATATATATCTTGACCTGTATATTTATTTTATAAGCTTTTTTTTTTATTTTTATCAATGTTCAAATGTAGACATTAGTATGATATCAACTATTGATAGTATCAAACACCCGTGGAGTACACAGGAAATAATTCCAGATTTAGCCGACAATATATTTATCGTGACTGCAAGATAGTGTACATACATATAAAATATCCGATATAACAAGAAAAATTCATCTCGAATACATGTTCTTTTAATAAAAATTATATGAAATTACACCTGGCCCCAGGATCATGAAACAGACTTAGACTTGAGTTAAATTTTCAATCGCCTGTAAAATGTTCATTGTGTATTAATTAATCTCAAAATTCGCAAATAACAACACTTTGGTCATCAATCAATATTGAAAAGTATTTTTATTTTGATCTGCTTGACCTCCACAACATTGAAGGATAGTACCAAAAAATGACTTAAGCGTAAGATGTTTCATGATTCCGCAGCCTGAAATACCAAATTAACCTTTCTACACATGCAGGACTATATTAAAATTTTATTTGATTTTTGAAGATTTTGAATGCTCTTTCCATGTAACCTAAGACCATAAGTAAGTATGATGAAGTTTGAAACTTAAGACACACAGTGTTTATTAGAATATTTCTATTTCTTCCCAAAGGATATGGATTTACAATCCTAATTCGAATAAGGCTTAAAAAGCCATAAGGAATAAAATTAATATCCCTAAATATATTTCAAAAATGAAAAAAATCTTTTCGTCCTTAATTTCATTCTTTGTTTGTTTACTTAGAAAATTAAAACTTCTTTCTTGCTAATAACTGTTGCTGTCTACCCGTTTACAAATATCTAGAGTTTTCTTTTCTTGCCGCGACTTCTGTTCTTGGCTTCACCGAAACTGAAACTGGTTAATATTTAATTAAACACCCATTTTAACTTTCAACTTCTCAAAAGAAAAAAAAAATATTTATTTGAAACGATGTGATAAGAGTTTTATAATCGTAAAAGACGATGATTCAATTTACTTCTGAAAGTATGGACCAAACCTACTTGCGCATCAAAGTGGGGACGCTCATCACTTAACCCCAGTCAGATATTATCTGATAATATAGGCATACACATGTATAAATAATTCAAGTGCATGGGTGGTTTATGCAAAGGAATAAAGTTGTACACAAAATTAGATATATTTTAATGTTATGTTAGATTTATTTTAATGTTAAAATGTTTGAAATCGTTTTCAGATACGTGTATGTACGAGTATCGTCAATTGTATCTTTTGAGACCAACTCATGATTATTTTTACCATTTCTTTTCATTCTAAGTTATATATTAAGATTTCTTCTGTGTTCAAATATATATAACTTTGTCTCATTTTGTACCCTTTTAAAAAGATAAATCTGTACAAATTTATGCACACATTTTGAACATTAATTTCAATTGCAAAGTCTCGGAAAGTTTGCTTTGTGACTATCATATGGAAGGCATCATTTATTTTCTGACATATATTTTAGGTTAACTGTTTGAAGACAAATCAAACCATATTCAAATATTTCAAATCGTGTTATTTCTTTTTTCAAAAATTCTTTTGCACTTATTTTTGTTGTTGACATTAAAACAAAAATTTAAATATGATTTTTAAAATTGTTTGTTGAAATTTGAAAAAAAAGCCTTTTTACAACAAATTATGCTCCACTTTATTTAACTATGGCACAAGGTAAAAAAAAAATTTGATAAACAATAATTTGTTATAAAGAAAAAAGCTCAATTTCAGTATAAAGTAAGTTTTAAAGGAAGAGTATGCGTCTTTGTATATTTTTCTTTTTTCCAAAATGAGACTTTTAAAAACCCTTTTCAGTTAATAAAAAGAATACCTGGTAATTTATTTTGCCACTTAAATCGGGAGTCTTATTTATAATATAAAAATAAAAACAAAACAAAAAAGAGAAGAAAAATGTTTTTTTTTTCATATTTGTACATTTAACTGCCCATTCCATGCATTAAAATTAACCAATAAAGTATCCTTTCATATGATTAAACAGTAAAAACTTAAACTTTGTCATTTTCATTGTTCAGAATAAAGTCCAAAATTTTTAAAATACATCTAAAACATCGCCTATTAAAGAATATGTCAAATATTGAATAATCAAATGTTATATTATCTTTCAAGCCTTGATATATGTATCAATAAGCTCTTAACCCCCTCCATGGCAAAGATTTTAAGCATTTTTAGACAAATTGATATTAAGATTTCAATTTATTTTTGGGGTATTTCTTGTAATTTTTGTAAATACCAATATATTCTGAAAGCAGGTATTGTGTTGTTTCTGAAAATGATTATAAAAATTTCATTTCAGTTGCCATGGCAATGAAATACACAATAATCATGCTGGAATTTTCATTTATTAAACAATGATTTTCATTCTAGTTTTTTTGCATAGTTAAATATATAAAAAAAATATTGTATTGTTGTGGACATTGAAAATTATGAAATGTTGTACATTTCTTTTTTTACAAACCAATTTTAAGTATTTTGCGGGGATTGGGTAGGGTTGGGATGTAAACACGTACCAGAATTTAGCATTTTTACATATAATGTGTTACCCCCCCCCCCCCCCCCCCCCCACATTGATTTCGAGAATGGCAAATCGCTCAAATAGTGATCAAAGTTTTACTCAAACTAGCAAAAAACTGGTATAACCAATTAAAATATTTTTATATATTATTTTTCCGTATTTATTTTCTCTTTCCAACGGTGCAAGATTTATTCTGATATGTCTATTTTTAACAAAGTTATGAATGTTTTTTCACACTATACTTGTTTTTCAAGTCAGAGGCGTAGAAATGCGTATATGCCATGTAAGGGGTTAAATGAAAAAAAACCATCTTATAATAATATTAAAAAAAAATATCAACTGATTTTAGAAAGTAAAAAGAGTGATAATAAATATATATGATTATTAAAAGTTATAAATTCAACCATATGGTACATTATAGAAACGTATTTCACATCAATAGCAGCTTATTAGAGCTTCATTGATCAAAATGGACATTAATTATCGATACGCTTGGGAACAAATCCAATGAAAGGCAACTAATAAGTAGACACGTATAATAAAATCAGTATAGGGTTATTCAAAATCAAGTGATCTATAATTAAAACATTAAGTTAAACGTAATTACGTTTACTCAAAATTCCGTATAGTACTAGTAGCTGTAAATAAACTTGATTCGATATTAAATCTGCAACCAAATTAATCTCATCTCAAATTAAAACAAGCAACATATCACGGGCCTCAGAGAGTGATCAGGTTAGTCAGGGTATCTGGCCTTTACTTAGCATCTCAAGAAACAGTCTGGACTCCATATAAAGCTCTCACCAAAACGGTAAAGGATCGTACGTGTAGGCTGTGGTTCATGAGGAGGCTATGTTCTCAGAAGAAATAAATCCATATCATCTTTGTTTTTAATACTTGTGAAATATTTTACTTGAAGTCTTGAATATTGCAAACTCTCTCTTGAAATCATTAGAATTCTTTATCTTTTAAAATAAGGTTTTGATCCATTTCATAAAAGTTGTAAACTTAGTATAAAGATCACTATGAAGATAAATATCTTCATAGTGATCTTTATACTAAGTTTACAACTGGAAACAAATCCATGGACAAATCGGAAATCCTCAGGTAAATATGGAAGTGGACTATAGCAAAAATTTCATTGTTGTAGGACTGCCATCACATTCTTTCGCCCACAAAAAGGTCATTGAAAAAAAATGAAAATCTACTCGACTAAATAAATGTCTTTTTAACATATTAAAGGGTATGCTTATTTTTTCCTTTATAATTTTGCTTGTATCTTTATCAAATTGAGAAAAAAAAACTATTTCTAATAAGAATCTGATTCTGAAATCTTAGGAAACAAGTGTACGATGATTCAACTGACTTCTGAAAGTATTAAGTAGATTTGTCTAGGCCTCTAAGTCTGAACACTTACTATTTAACCCCTCAGTCAGGTATAATCAGATAAATATACATTTATCAGTAATTCAAGTGCAGAGGTGTTTTATGTCAAGAAAATTTTCACACAGATTAAATTCTGATATGATAACACTTGAGGGCGTTTAAATAAATTTCAGTGCATTTTTTTTTTACAGAAACAAACATAATTTACAAAAATCCACGTTGCACAAGAAACAATATTAACATCAATTGCATACAAATATTAATTAATACGGCAATCATTAAACATATGTGCATAATAAATTATTGAAGAGCACTTAATAAAAAAGATCACGTTGATGTGAAATCCTCGGGTTCACTATCAAACAGCTCTAAAAGCCCAGAGTCACTGCTGCTTATGTCTGCAGCATTAGGTAGAGAAGGCATGTTCAGAAATGATACGTATTTTATAGATGGTTCATCCTCTCCCACCTCGTCGTCGTTTTCCGACACCCTAGAATTGCCCGGATCATTCACGCTATCAGTCTGTATGTTTAAGGCATTAAAATCCGACAGAGATACACCCCCAGAAGAAGATTCTGGAATTTCTGCTGCGATACGACCTTCTAACCAGTACGTGGTCATAGAACCTTTGCCCTGGAAAAACGTATACATACAGATATAACACAATTCACTTATATCTAAATATAAATTTTGGAAATCTTGGACTGTACAGAGAAAGTCGCGATTGCAAAATATCCAGTTGTAAATATTAAAACTTTCCTGGATGGAGAAACATAAAATTTATCGGTTAATTAATCTTTTCTGCGTTTCATCTAAAACGATATAAAGAGACCTATATTTGGGCATGCTACTGTTTGCATATTTATTACCTTTACTTCTAGTTTTCCTCGCTCCACTATCTTGTAACAGTTTTCTCGCTTTAATAAATCTGCTGTCGTTGAACTTATATGGATTTTTAGAGCTAGCAAAGTAAATAATTAAAAAAAAATCAAACAAAAATCCCAATCATTTTTTGAATAATTTTAAATTTCATTCAATCACTATTAATTTTACAGAGTCCTCACCCAGGCCATTAGATTCCATCCTGGAGGCCGTGTTGACTGTATCCCCAAACAGACAATACCGAGGCATGGTTAACCCCACCACCCCAGCACAAACAGAACCGGAGTGGAGACCTAAATAAATAATACAGCAAGTATTGATGTTGTACATGTACTGTATATTCCATTAAATTCATATTTAAATGTATGCTTATTTAATTTAAAACGGACAATGACAAATCTCTATAGTTTAAGATACATAAATGTAATCAAAGTTGGTGAAGAGTGTTGGCACTTGAAAGTAAAAATTAATGTATGTAGTGCATAAACAGAAAAATAATTTAAAATAGGAAGAAACTTACAAGTTGAGAAACAAATTTCTTTAATGATATTCAATTAGACCATATATGACTTAAATAACACATATCAGAACTTTCCGGTTAAATAAAAAAAGACATGCTAAACTGACATTTACAGTTAAGACAGAGGAAAGAAAATTATTTATTTGAGACTTTTCCATAGCATACAAGTAAAATGTATCTAGAAGACATTTAAACTTTGAGAAAATATTAATTAAGATGAAGTTCACTTCGTCTTTTAAATAAAAGAAGATTAAATATTGGTATCCAGATTACTTTTCCTAGTATTTTCTGAGTAAATATCGTAAAATTAAAGTTTTGAGTTTATTATTACGTCATCTAGAACTAGACCTAACAATGCTCAATTACTAGATATTGACTATAAAAGGAAAATACCAATTCTAATCTGCAGTTGCTCGGTTGGTTTATGTGGTATTTGGAAATGTTTGACCCCATCTAATAGCTCTAACGCCACTTTGGCCATTTCGTTGGCGTGATTATTTTCGTTCCGTTCTGGGAGACCGCTTACTATCATGTATGCATCACCTATGGTTTCTACCTAAAGTTTGATATTAAAATGATGTTATAAAAATTTTTATTTCATAGAACACGGGTTTTCAAGAAAGGAGAAATATGTTTTTCTTTTCTACAAATGCAAAATTTTTTAATTTTTCTGTATTCCTTCGGGTTTATGATAAGTCTCACAAATTAAAGAGGAATGTCTTTTCTGTAGATGGCAAATATATGGACAATTTTCCGAAGTTTGATAATTCATAAAATGTTATCTTGTTTTTGTATGTATTATATCCACAGGAAGCGGAAATAGGAATATTTACCTTGTAAACGTCATAATGTTCGATGATATCGTCAAAAAGTGTGTATAGAGAATTCAGCAAATCAACAACCTAGAAGTACATAGAAAGACCTTTCTATTCGTTATCAATAATGAATCAATCAGTTCCTGGAATCATCATTTCTTATTTATATGTTATGAATAACTAAATAACAACAATGGTTAACTTTATTAAATTATTGATTTTATCAGCACATACAGCAATATGTGTCTTTATATTTTGTATTGAAGAGAACATTTACGAGGATGACATGTAGAGAAAATGCATGTGGCTGGCATACAATTTTCATAAAGACTGACTTTGCAAAATTAAAATCAATGAGACACTTTTAATTTACAAAATCTACAGTTTGAATTTTAGAATATAAGCCTTCTTGACTGATGAATGACCTATTCATTTTTCATTTTGTATATTCAATTATAATTATTTAATAACCAGCTACACGGCGATATGGATTCAACGGCGCTCTTTGTACAAGAACAGCTGTTTAATCTTTCTTTTAAAAATCTCTCAGCCTTCATAGTTTTTAATTCATAATAGTCTACTCTGATCTAAGTTGCATATTTTGTTCACATAGATATTTGTGATACCTGCATTGGCGTACTACCTCCAGCCAAATTCGTAAAGCCGACAATGTCGGAAAAATAAATCGTCACGGACTCAAAATTTTCGGCGGCCACAGGTTTACCTAGTTTTAATTCCTCAGCCACTTTTCTACAACAGATATATAAAATCAGATATGAATGTTCTTTTGAAGTTTCATCCGATATTGAGCATATGATAATACAGTGCAGGGAATACCTTGGAAGCATACGGAAAAGAAGTGCATCTGTCTTTCTCTTTTCCTCCTGAAGCTGTTCGGTTCTCTCTGCTACAATCTCCTCCAACTGATTTGAATATTTCTCCATCATCACAACCATGTTTTCAATCACATTAGAATTTCTACCAAGGAAATGAACAACATTTACAGTACATGTACTTAAAATGTACGTACATATAAAGAAAACTTCAAAACAATTTTTAAAGAAAAATTTTTACTTGTAGGGGTTGATTTTGTTTAGTGTTTTCAGAATTGTTTTCACTGTTGGTCTCATCATTGGGTCCTCTATCCAGCAGCTTTGTATTAGCTTCTTTATGGCGTAGCTTTGTTTCGCTGTTTGGATGCCGTCCAATTCTTGAGGGAAAGATGGTCTAAAACGCTTGGCTTCGTTGTCATTCATTACTTTATTAATGATTTCTGAAACACGCCGATGTACTTGTTTGTATTACAGTAAAACTCGTTTAGTACGAACACGGATATTGCGAATTCACGGATATAGCGAAGTTATTTTGGATCCCCAACTATATGAATTTGATGAATTCCTTATACGGATATATAACGAATTACGGATATAGCGAAGTGATTTCATAGGTCCCTGTGACTTCGTTATAACCGAGTTTTACTGTAATTATATTATTCTTTAGAGCAATGTAGAACTCAAGTCAACCTTAAAGTAATTTAACTCATTTTTAAATGAATGGTCTGCCCTGTATAATACGATGATTTTTTTAGATTTTAGATTTATACAACAATAGACTACAACCTTCAGCAGTAAGATGGCTCTCCATGGAGTAAGGTTTGTCTCTACAGATGAGCTCCTTGGCAATAATGGCGAAGGCGTACACGTCACCGGCAGCAGATCCAAATCGTTTCCCAGTAGGAATGATCTTTCTCAGGAGTTCTGGGGCTGTCCACAGTAAAGCTAAAGGTAAATAATTCAGAATTATAAAAGTTAAATTTAGGAAAAGAAATTTATTGTTCGTTATATTCGTATTTCGTTTAAACCGTGTGCGGTAGTTCCAAAAGAAATTTTTAAAATAAAATCTTATTGATGTAGTTGCCATAATTGATTAAAATGTCAAATAAATCCTACTTTTAAATAAATACCAATATTTTAAGTGAATGTTCAATTTATTGCATTAAAATGTCAAGAAGTACACGGCTGCGGTATGACAGGTCGACAGGGGATGCTTACTCCTCAATGGCACCTGATGTTTTTAGAGGTCCGTGTTTGGTCTTCTGTGTTTTAATTGCTTTTGAGTTTGATTACCGTTTATCATCTCAGTATTTCACGCAGTCTTTTTTTTTTTTTTTTTACATTCATGACAGACAAAATTTCATGGTTTAGATTCATTACTTTACTTCAGAACTGAAGTAAAAGTTATCCCGGATTTAGAGGCCTTAGAATCCAAAACTTTAAATTAAAGACTCAGCTATCAGTATTTCTTGATTCCTGACCAAGTATGTCGGTAAATAAATTGATGAAACAGTAACCTGCGTATTTCCCATCGTCCTCTTCTTTTTCTCTGTCGATGTCTTCCCCTTGCAGATGACGAGGAGCGTAGTCTGTAAGTTTACACGCCCAGCGGTTGTCAATCAAACAGTTGGAACTCTTCATATTACCATGGAAACGTAGGTCGCTCTTATGAAGGTATGACAAGCCCTTATAATAAAATAATATTTATTCTTACTGTTGGATGGAAATTATCAAACCTTCTAATAATAAATTTCTCGGCAGACCTGATGAAGACATCCAAAGACAAGATTTTAATTCCTAATAAAAAAATTTATATGTTTGAAAGATACTTTTGTTAAATTGTTAGTTACAGCCTTTATATTGAGCATTTACTAATAAATGTGTGAAAATACGTGTATAAACACATTTATAGATATTAAATATCGATTTTATTAAAATGAAGAAAATATCAACGACGACTGCTAAGTACTAATAGTGAGTGACGGTGGTAAATTTACATTGTTTAAACAAATAATATTTGCAATGAACAAACAATCTGTATATCAAAATAATGGCATTACAAATGCATCAGCGTTCGTAAATACTAGTTGGATTAGAGATAAAGAATGGTGCAATGTAAAAGACCTATTTTATTCGAAAGTCAAGGTTTTCAAGAGTACATTTCACAAAAAAACATGAATATACTCTCAGAAATAAAATACAGAATTATTTGAACAACAAGACGATGTTTTATTTCCCCATATATTTCAGAAATAATTATTTCTCTTATGCGAGTCTTCACAAAAGTATTGAAACAAAATGTAGGCATCAAATAAACAGTACCATATAAAGTATTATTCTTAGTTTTGAGTTGTGTATTCTCTCATTTTAAATAAAGTACAATATTCTTAGAATTTTTATGAACAGGTTTGTGTATTCTCTTTTTACCCATCATTAAATGAAAGCTTATACATTAAAAAATGATTATTTTACAATTAAAGTACCTTGCATATATCAACAGCAATGGATATTTTAAACATTGTATCCAATTTATATGTCGTAAAAAAACACATGCTTTTGACCTCTCAGTCTGTTCACTTTGTTTTCAGCGCCTAGAGAATTCCATACGGGAGATCATATCAATGACATAAGTAAAGAAACCTGGGTATAAATACCCTTCAATGACCTTAAAAAATGATTATTTTACAATTAAAGTACCTTGCATATATCAACAGCAATAGATATTTTAAACATTGTATCCAATTTAATGATCACATCCTACAAAATAAATCAGCAATTAGAACGATTTGTACATGCAATGTCCTGTGATAATCTACTAGGAATCCAAAGAATAAAATATTACTTAACAGGGTTGATAAAACTACCTGAACGCTTCCTTTGGAACAGTACTCCCAAACAGCGCAAGGAATCTCCGAGTCAGTACATATACCCAGCATAGCGGCAATGTTTGCATGTTTGAATTCAATGACCTGATAATTGATAATTTTATTATTTGAAATCCTTAGATTATATAGATTACAATAAGGACAATAACAAGAGGGAAAACGGCAATGGGAATGACAATACACGAACAGACCTCTTTCATTTCTTTGAGGAACTTCACCCCGTCTGTTTTGAACTTCTTTTTCCTGAGAGACTTCAGTGCCACGAGTCGCCCTCTGTATCTGGCCACGGTGATTTTGGAGTTCTGTATGACGTTGTTGTCCATGGATAACGTGTCGGCGTTCGTGGTTCCTCCCGTGTATTCCGTCCCTTTCTCTGAGCGGCTGGTGATGCTCATCCGACGGTGGTGTGGTATAGACGCGGTTCCTACGCTGTTTTTCCTTACTGCCAAATCACTACTACTGTCATTTCGGGACAAGTTCTTTGAAAAAAAGTTTGAAAAACTCATTTTGAAGTCATCTTGCAATGAACATTCGGTCAAATAATAATGAAGGCTGATTCGGATTTTTTCTTTAAGTATTGTGATAAAAAGTAAAGTAAAATAGAATATATTTAATTAGGTGCTTATCATGAACGCTTACCATGAAAGACCGAACCTGCTTCCCTACAAAGAAGTCTAGGTCTTTGAAATGAATTTTCCAGACCACATTTTGAAGGTCTTTCTGTCTCTTCCATATCCTACAGAGAACACATTGACATGTATAATCTCGTTATGAATTGCTACTGGTACCATGGGAAATCAATTACAAAATATTTTATCATTTACATAACAATATTGAATGATTGCACCTAAGGAGACGTTTGTATCATTTGTTGATTTCCTTTATCGCAATTTTAATTGATGCACGCAGGAATGGTACTTGATGGCAAAATCTTCTACCATAGATAAAATAGTACCGATCACTAACTTTAGAGACAATTGTAAATTGGACAAGTTTGCTTACCTCGTCAGGTGAAAAAGCACGAGTAACACAGAAAACATTCCGTTCAGGTATTGTATTTACCTGTAGGCCAACAACATCATCATTGCTAGAACCATGGCTGCTAATGACACACCAATGTATACGGCGAGATCAGAGGACGATCCTGGAATATGTAAATACCCGTATTATACTGCCTTTCAGCCTCCTTTACAAGCACTTGAATTTTAACGGGACACGGCGTTAGAATCGATATTTTTTTCCAATATTGATCTCATCACATTTTCTAGTTGTGGTGGCAGACAATTAGAAATTGTTAGTTTTTAAGAAGTTGACAATGGGTAAAAAACTTCGCACAGGTACACAACTTCGACCTTTCTCCTCTCTTTTGTTTTGATGCGTTTTTGCAAATAAAATTCCGTCTCTAACTGATAAACATGAAATGCACGGTGTTTCGATTTGGAATCTTCGATTTAAGTGATGAAAAATTTATATGAGTTGATATCGATTGCTAATCGTAATTTTAAAACATTTCTATTTGGATGTACTTTGAAGTTCAATTTTGCCACAGGAACTTAAGCATCAAAAACATTTTACCGAATACTCATTTCCAGCGAGTTACTATAAAGATAGGTCCTAGGTTGTAAGATATTTCTCTATAGTCAGTAGGGAAATTATTTTTAAAAAAATCAATGATTCCTATTATTTATGAAAGAAAAAAAATTTAAAAAGTATTTTTAATCAAAAATAAGGCAACATGTATGGTGCAATTAAAAGAATAAAAAGTAGTTTTTCTATACATGCTGTAACACTATATGCATACAACTTGTAACTTGTTTTAAAAAATTCTTCAACAATTTAAAAGACATTACTCTTGATATATTTTAAGAACTGTTATGATGAAAACTATGAATTAATCGGTTGACATTGAATATGTAATTTTTAATTTTGTTGATGGCCGGCAGATTCAAAATGTACATGTCAGGATAAAGATACAGATTACTCAAACACTGGACTGTGAAATCAAACACGGAGAATTTGATTGGTCCTACCTGGAGGTACTGGGCATTTCTCATTGAAGAAACCACAAGTGGGCGTGTCCAACGGGATACGGTCATTACTGGTCGTCCCGTCTCCCCACCGGAAATAGGTGATGTCGCTATCCTGCGTTTATTGCAGATAGAAAATTTATAGCAAGCGCTGCTTTCAAATGCATGGATTTTAATTCATTATTGGTTAAACAAAGAAAATTCAATTCAGATGCATTAATTATGACGGTAAATTTTGATCAATAGTAAAAACATTACGGAAAGTATTGTATTTTTTTCATATCCATCGCAAGATATTTATTTTAGGCATTAAATTTGACAATATAGTGTAGAATTCCTTGATCTTTGATGTAAATATAGGTTCTATACACACACTTCTTTTATTGAAGGTTAGATAGGAAGAAATCGATAGAAAACTTTGAAGATATACCGGAAGAATAGAGCCATTAACAATTGTCATTCTGTAGTAGGCCACAGTAGTAAAATTCCCAGACTCCGAGAGATCGTAGACAGTTATTGAACCATAACGATCGGAATTACTTGACATCACCACATCTCCCGAAAGACCTAAACAGATAAGCCTTTTGGTAAAGTTTATTAAAAATGACCAAGTACAGTTTATTAAACGCTATTTTAAAATTTTCACATTACAATACATTTAAAAGAGTACTTTTTATTGCATATTATATACACTGTACCTTTGAGATTAAAGTTTTCTAGCGACTGTCTAATAGTGGAGCCATTCACTGTAGCTGGGTCGCCTCCATTGTTCCGCAATGCTAGGGCGTAGAGGTACACGGCATCGTAGAGAAATGGTGAGTAAATATCAGGCTTAAAATAGAAAAAAAAGTTAGAAAGAACAATGAATCTTCAATAAATAATGTAAATTATATGTCAGTAAAATTAATTTTTATTTTGGCTTGCCATGTTAAACCAAAAATTTATTTACAATAAAATGCACGAGATCTGTGAAATGAAATTTCATTCGTGTTCTTAAGAAACGCAAAAAAAAAAGTCATTCGTAATTTGGCTACCTGTGCCCAATCAGGCAAAGAAGGAAATGTCGATTTCAAGGACAGGTAAGCTGCATAGGCTTCAGCTGACCAGGTAGACGTTGAGTTTCCTGCCAACGCGTCACCAAAAGACAACTGAAATAAGCAACAATCTCGTGGCAAAAGTTTCAATATGCCTAAAAGGTTACACGTAGAAAACCGAGCTGCAATCTTACGTAAAGAAGAAGCAACAATCTCGTGGCAAAAGTTTCAATATGCCTAAAAGGTTACACGTAGAAAACCGAGCTGCAATCTTACGTAAAGAAGATTTTCAAATCCCTGGCGGGCCGCGTTGTCATTCGCGTCTCCATATTCCCATAATGCAGTGCTTTCTACATCCGCTAATTCTTCATTTGACAGCAAAGTAGTCTTGATAAACAGAAACTGATAGTCTCCGCTAGCCATTCCTTGAGCATGAGCCCGGATCATGTAAGTACGGAGCTCGGACTCAGGAACAATTAGGATGATAACTGAAAAAGGTAGAAAAAAAATGCATTAAAATCACAATTGAGGGAACAAAATAATTATTGAGGTTTCAAACAAAATCAATTAAGGCTATTTTTTAGTTTTATTTTCAATGGTTAATTGAATAAATATTATTTAAATATATATATCTCTCTCTTTAGTTCTCTCTCTGATTATATCAGACGTACTTCTTCCCTCGTACTTGATGGCAGAGTATATCTCGTCTATTGTCGAATCAGTAGCATTAAGATTTACGCGTGCGTAGTGATGAGCGAGGGAAAATCCGAACGAGGACCAGTATGGATTCTCGATTTCCGAGATGAACGCATTTGCGTATGCCTCACATTCGGAATCCACAGAAGATATGACAATCACCCGAACCCAGAAGAATCCGGATAAAAAGATAGTGAGGATGTTTCCTGTTTTTTAAATATAAAACTTCAAAAAACATCAAACAAATAAATGAATTCTATCTTAAAGTCTATATAAGGTTGCACTTGTTTTGTTGTTGTTGAGGATTTACATGTATCTCGGTACCATTTACAAGGCCTCAAGACCATAAATTGAGTTTATGTACTTAGCTGAATGCTAAATGTTGTAGATTTTTACCTATTGCTGAGAGAGGGGCGATGGATCTGACCAGTGTCTGTAGTTTACTCTTGTCGTCAAGGGTTTCTTCATTGGACAACCAACCAAAGACAGGAATATCTCTATAGGCCGCCAACTCAATCGGGATCATGGCTAAGTGATAAATGCTAAAAATTAGAATCAAAAGAAAGTCTGATGCACAAATTCATCATTGATAGAATACTACTGTGGCCAACTTCAAAAGGACAGGTAACTAGTACTTAATTTCCTAATTCCATATGTTTTCAGAATTTAAGATTTTTTCTTCATTTTTGATGCTGCTTCTCGACAAACTCTGACTTCTACAAGTATATGAATACATTTTCATTTTGTTTATTTGGCACTGTTAGGATAAAAAAAAAAATTTTGATATGAATGCAATTATAGCAAAATTTTCTTTGACTTTTCATCAAACATTGGAGTATACTTTACGTCAATTTCCATCATTTGATTGCAAAAATCTCACAAAGATCCAATGTATTTGTCTATGAAATAGTATACACATATTAAAGAGGATAAAAAGAATCATAGTATGAGGCAGATTTCGGTATGATTGTATCTTCGCTCCATTTTTAATTTTATTTGAAAGTGTACCTTTATATTTTCCGTAATTTTTTTTTTTCGATTTTAATAGAAATATATAATACATTACACAATTTCATATCTTTTCGAAAACACAACCAAGACTTGCGTAGCATTGCGGGTTAGCGTGTTAGTAATATGAAATAAAATGATACTAAGAATTTTTAATGCTTAGCGCTTGAACTATGTTACATAAATCCAAGTCTATGGACATTCTGTAAGCCTTGTTCATCCATCTCTTTTTTTTCTCTTTGACTTTAAAAGTGAGACTACGGCGCCGCTGGAGGGCCAGGTAAAAAAATATTTTTATTTGTTCGGACAAATTAGAAAATCGTTCGGACGAATTAGTTATTTGTTCGGACGAATTAGATATTTGTTCGGACAAATAAGTTATTTGTTCGGACAAATTAGATATTCGTTCGGACAAATTAGTTATTTGTTCGGACGAATTAGATATTCGTTCGGACAAATTAGAAATTCGTTCGGACGAATTAGTTATTTGTTCGGACGAATTAGATATTCGTTCGGACGAATTAGTTATTTGTTCGGACGAATTAGATATTTGTTCGGACAAATAAGTTATTTGTTCGGACAAATTAGATATTCGTTCGGACAAATTAGTTATTTGTTCGGACGAATTAGATATTCGTTCGGACAAATTAGAAATTCGTTCGGACGAATTAGTTATTTGTTCGGACGAATTAGATATTCGTTCGGACGAATTAATTATTTGTTCGGACGAATTAGATATTTGTTCGGACAAATAAGTTATTTGTTCGGACAAATTAGATATTCGTTCGGACAAATTAGTTATTTGTTCGGACGAATTAGATATTCGTTCGGACAAATTAGAAATTCGTTCGGACGAATTAGTTATTTGTTCGGACAAATTAGGAATTCGTTCGGACGAATTGGTTATTTGTTCGGACAAATTAGAAATTCGTTCGGACGAATTAATAATTCTTTCGGACAAATAAGTTATTTGTTCGGACAAATTAGAAATTCGTTCGGACGAATTAGTTATTTGTTCGGACGAATTAGATATTCGTTCGGACGAATTAGTTATTTGTTCGGACGAATTAGATATTCGTTCGGACAAATTAGAAATTCGTTCGGACGAATTAGAAATTTGTTCGGACAAATAAGTTATTTGTTCGGTTAATTTCGGACAAATAAGTTATAGAAATTCGTTCGGACGAATTAGTTATTTGTTCGGACGAATTAGATATTCGTTCGGACAAATTAGAAATTCGTTCGGACGAATTGGTTATTTGTTCGGACAAATTAGAGAAATTGTGAACAACTATCAGGACACCGCGAATAATGTGCAGTTTGCACCAAGACGTTTCATTTTATTTTGATTCTTTGCAAAATAACTTTAATGAACAACATTATCAATAAATATTTTGAAGATAAGTCGTTTTAATGTTGATCTCTTTCTTATGATTTTTATGTACATATTCACTACCGTGCAGTTATTAATCATGACATGTGAATGATTTTTGAAATACATTTCTGATACATATGTCGCCGATTTGTAGCTGAAATATTGCCGATTCGGCGTAAAACATTCAATCAATGAATCTGGTACATATGCGGTGTATAAAATGATTAAAAGGTTCTCATTGAGTTTTTAATTAAATATTCCTGTTTGTGAATTTAGAAAACTTCACAAAAATGAACCTGTTCGTATTGATCCCAGGTTGTTCATACGACTCGCGAGCCGGTGAATTACGAGGTCAACCGATCAATCTGGTATATTCCCTAGTCCATTGATTTTCACAGCATAATTATAGCCCCCTCCCGTTATTGCAGAGGTACATGTAGTCGAACAAACTATTTAATTTCACTTTCAGCATTTCTTAATTTTGTTTATACGCTTTTACAGTTGAGTACCAGTTCGAAGGTTTGATAGGCCAATGACTCACATAGAAAGGGAAATTATGAAAGCAACCCCTTTTACGGGGAAAATAAATCATGAATGAATGTCAAAATATTTTCTAGTAACACCCCCCCCCCGTCCTCTATTTCAAAAACGATCGATTGTCTTAATCATTGAGAACCTTAACTTGCATTAAATTATGATGAGTTTTTAAATTTTACTGCACTTTCTAGGAACGTACATGTATTAATCTATTCTTTATCCTTTTCCCGGAAAGGGGCGTGTGTTTAATTTGGTCAATATTATACCTGCATGTTTTAATTCATGCTCTTTTCTGATATTTAAATATAAAATAAAATTTATATAGATACTTAATAATAGTTTTTAACGATCTTAGAAAGAATCCATTGGAGATGGACTTATGGGATTCCCTCTTTTTGTTCCTTTATCACAAAATACTTAAATGTGGGAACAGTGGTATAGAAGCAAATCTACAAATGTCCTAGCTAGTAAGCCCCACCTTAAAAAAAATTAAAACCCTCGAATAAGAGGCTCGATATTTTGAGTCCGAAGTTTATTCAATATAATACAATGCAGCCACGTAGCATCGTTTTTGAAAGTGGGGGGGGGCCTGAGAAAAAAATAGCTACCTGAAAAGTTGACAAGCAAAAAAAAAAAAAGGGGGGAGGGTGGCTTAGGAAAAGTTGCCCAAAGTTGACAGTCCTATTATCTTTTTCAATGCCAATTTTTTCCCGTACCAATTGCCTGCAGTAGGAGTAAAACCTTAAGGAGTGGATCTCATCTTTTCAAAGAAGCGGTAACTGACCACTGGCACCGCAGTGTTAGTCAGGGAAGGGAGTGAAAAGATGTTTGATAAGAAGTAACTGACCCTTTGAATTTACTAGTGGGCTCTCAGAAAATATACTTTCAGAATGGCAGACTTTAGGCCTATAATATATACCGGTATAGATCCATTATTTCCGAATATTTACATTCAACATACCCGACTTTGATATCACATGTCTAGTTGCTACGTGTGTATGTCATGGTCCAAAGAGTTATTTATGTATTAAAAAAGGATGAATCCTCCTGAATAGATAAAGTGTATATCTCTCTTTACAGGATAATTTGTGCAAACATCTAATTTGCCCGAACGAATATCTAATTTGTCCGAACGAATTTCTAATTTGTCCGAACAAATATCTAATTTGTCCGAACAAATAACTTATTTGTCCGAACAAATTTCTAATTCGTCCGAACGAATTTCTAATTTGTCCGAACAAATATCTAATTTGTCCGAACAAATAACTTATTTGTCCGAACAAATTTCTAATTCGTCCGAACGAATTTCTAATTTGTCCGAACGAATATCTAATTCGTCCGAACAATTAACTTATTCGTCTGAACGAATATCTAATTCGTCCGAACAAATAACTAATTCGTCCGAACGAATTTCTAATTTGTCCGAACAAATTTCTAATTTGTCCGAACGAATATCTAATTCGTCCGAACAAATAACTAATTTGTCCGAACGAATTTCTAATTTGTCCGAACGAATATCTAATTCGTCCGAACAAATAACTAATTCGTCCGAACGAATTTCTAATTTGTCCGAACAAATAATATTTTTTTACCTGGCCCTCCAGCGGCGCCGTATGAGACAACTTCATATTTAATGCAAAACCCATATATTGAAATGAGTTGTCTCCGCTTTCCTTTTAAAATAAACCACTACGATGTATTCCAGCATTGAACTTTGGCAATCGATATCTTTTAGATTTGATTTAGCTCTCCGAGTTTAGCTACCGCTAACTATTTAATATCTTTATTTCATCCTGTTCATCTCCATTTCTTCGAAAATGAGATTCAGACAGACATGACTTACCTTTCGTACATGGTGGACCAAATATGACGTCCACTCTGTTATGAAACAAAAAATCTGTAAATTTCCCAATGCTCAGTTTACTGTCACAGCCAGAATCTATCCATATGATACTAGAAGAAAAAAAAATTATATTTATTTTTTTTTTCTTATTTCTACATGTTAAAAAAAGATCATAGTTTAGAAGAAAAAAAAGTTTAACTTGGTATTTAATAAAGATAAAACTGAGAATTTCTGAAAATTAAGAGTCAATATACAAAATTAGTATGAGGTCTCCCCTGTGTCCTAATTTTAAGTTCAATGAAGAATAAAGACCCAGTGGATTTATTTTCCAGGAACCAGTTCTACTACAGTGATGAAATTTATGTCAAATATTATAAAGCTTGCAATAATCAATTTTTCCAGTGAGAGGTTTAGAAGAATTTAATTAAGATACAATTGTCTGATGCCGGTGTTACTGAAGATCATTTTAAAAATATAATTTTTGTTGATTGCCAAAATGTAACAGGTTCGCAGAGACATGATTTCTTGTATTCATTTATACCTACTAATGGGAACATGGACATAAATGTAATTGGAATAAAGAGAGGTAATAACGAAATCAACGAAAATTAAACCACCACGAAATCTAATGATTCGACAGTAATTACAATCTAAGCAATTAATGGCGTAATAACACTAGAGTTGTAGTTTAATTTTGCTTTTATACGTCATTTTGACCTATTTGATTTTGCACTTAAGATTAATTTATCTTTAAGATTTTTACGTTTTTAATGAATAAATGAAACATAGGAAAAAGAACAAAAATAGGTAAATATTGATATGTTCAATAAGTGATTAAAATAGAACCACTTACAAAAAATAGACTGAACCTTAGATCTTTTAAAATATTCAAATGTTAGTACTCCTGGTTAACTTCAAAGAAGTATATTAAAACAAAGAAATATGTAATAAGTCGCACTTCTAAAACCTTCTTATCGTGATCATGTTCTTCATCCTGTAGTCCTGCTGAACAAATTATTACTGAAGACGTAAATGTAGTTAAGATTGAGGGGCAATATAAAAACCATGCGTTATTGCTATCTTTCGTCACAATATTTGTTACTGTATTTTATAAACTTATTTATAACAGTATATATATATATATATATATATATATATATAAGAATTAGATTGATTACATGATCGGGCGAAGTTACCATGTACTTGTCCTGGCATACTCTCAAAACTAGACAGTGATTCCTTATATTTCCATTTCTGAAATAAAACAAAACAGGTAATAACATCGTCTTCGTTTGCAAGGCTCATTCTATAAATTGTATTTTAGATCAGAGAAAAAAATTAGAAATGGAAATATATATATATATATATATATATATATATATATATATATATATATATATATATATATATATATATATATATATATGGATTCAATTCTACAAGTGATCATCCAACTTATACTCATAGTTCCCTCTCTAACGTAGGAAATTCTCCAAAATCCATATGTCAGTTTTGAATTTTTAATATGCCAAACAACCGAAATGAATTTGAATTACCATAGGTAAATTGAATTCCGAAAATTCATCAAAATTCTCACAAAGGTACATAGCGGGTCAGTAAATGTTCAACCAAGCCTCTTTCTTTACTCCTCACTAAGATAGTAACAATAAAGAAGAGAAACATCGAGAGTACTGTGCAACAAGAGAAGTGATGTAATTAAAATTTAGATACTTGAAAATTCTAAGGAACTTTTGGAAAATTTCAAATCAGAAGATTTTACCAAAATCAAGAGCTTAAAAACTGAAGACTTTTCAATTTTATACACAACCATTCCACACGATAAATTAAAGTCCTGACTTTTTGATATCATTGACAGCTACTTTTTCAGAGTAGTTTTTCATTTTTTTTAAATGACACTTGTAAATTCGCTTCACTCCATTGGACATTTGCAAAATTATTTTGTTAAACAAAATTCTGATTGTACACACAAGTACTCTTAAGTTGATATAATAAAATGATTGAGTTTCTGATTGACAATATCTAATTGCGCCCCGTTATTAGCAGACCTATTTTTTGTATTCACATGAAACAGAATTTGTCCAAAATCTTATTCGTGAAAAGAACAAAACAGTTGCTGTGGACTTCAACTCGACATTTTGATATATCGATGACGTATTGTCAATTAACAATAATTATTTCCATTTTTATGTCGATACGATATATCCCGGTGAGGTTGAATTAAAAGATACCTTAGAGTCAGTCCCATCTGTTTCTTAATTGGATATTTTACTTGAAAAAGACGTTAATGGTAATCTATCAACCAAGCTCTATGATAAATGTGATGACTCTAGCTTTTCAATCGTCAACTTCCCTTACTTATGCAGCAATAAACCTTGTCATCTGCATACGGGGTTTATATATCTCAGTTGATTCGATTCGCAAGAGCACTCTCTACATATGTACAAGTTTTAAAACGAAGTAAATTATTGACAAACAAGTTAATGAAATAAGAATATCAGCAGTCTCGTTTAAAGTCATCATTTCGTAAGTTCTATGGAGGATACGATGACCTTGTCAGCAAATACAATTTATCAGAGTCAAATGCTGACTGATGTTTTTCATACTAATTTTAGGCCATTCACTATACACTGATTGACGACGGGTTTTCCATTATTTCCCGCTCATAAAAGGGAGCACACGGTGGATGTGAGGATATTTGTTACTTTATTACTTTAAAGTTTGACCTACTGTTGAAAAAACTTTTATTTGTACATGAAATCTGACCAATTGGCGTTAGGAATTTCATATTCTTTAATATTTCTTTTAACAAGATATTTTCTCAGGATATCAACATCATGACTTGGTGTTTGAAGAAATTTTGTAAATCATAAACCTTGGTTGCTGCTCGAGTTTTTAGAATTCACATGAATATTATTCGTGTACGTATAATACCTTTCTTCGGGTACCAGTATTTTGATCTCACCTTGACCTTGAAGTCTACATCGAGCATCCATACAGGGAGATCAGTGTTAAAAAAAATTAAATGTCCAAAACTTGCAGAAATAATTCAATCAAAGTATTTTTAAAAATGCGGTTGAAATTCATCAGAAGCAAATTGCATGTATCACTGAAGACATAACTGGAAGATTACACCAGTGGCAAAGTATTACATGTATTTGTGAATCATCTTCCATAACTAATTTTGACAACAAAAAAAATCTTTACAAAGACAGTAGTTCAAGTGGATGTACTTTTTTTTCCTGCACTGTTAAGAAAATTAAGAGAATTGATTTCTGTTGCAAAAATATATGCACACGATTTTTTTAAAGAAATAAGCGAGCTTCTCTACCTCCCACAATCTATTTTAACGTATGATGGAATCCATACTCTGCGGGGGTGTCTCTTTGAGGCGAAGAAGAATATAAAGTGCATGCTGTAAGAATTAAGTTTATTTGATTGTTAAATAAATGTTTCAGTGTGATGTAGGAACTAAACAAAAACACAGACACGCCTTAAAAGAGCGACGAGTCTAAGGGAACCACTATTCTTGTTACCACTGTAAAACACGAAGATAACGTTAAAAACAATTTTATCTCATTAAGAACTAAAAGAAGAATTGCATAGAGAACACATGTTTTGTGCTTTTTAATCGACATTAAACCACAGGTTATTTAGATTTAATTAATTTAAACTATGACAGGAGATTTAATGGGGTCATGTGTACCCTATGTTTGAGTCTTATTTCTGAAGCTAGAGGCAGAGAAAAACACACACAATACATTTTTAAAGTACTTTGATAAAAAATAATTCTATTTGAAAAGACATGGTACTCACTCAAAGAGCCCTCTGGGTAATATCCCGGCATTGTAAATATTTTCCACGGCGTATGCTAGAGCTCCTACGGAGGTAGAGGCGTTTACGAAGATGACCGAGGAGGGCGGGGTGTCCCTGGGGGCCATCCACACTGTCTGAACATGTCCAGAACGAGTCAAGGGAGTAAAGGTTAAAACTAAAACCAAACAGGTATTTATCAACATTGTTTGGTATTTCTTAAAATTCCTTAAGTTTCTTTCACCTTCCATCTTTTATCACGGTTTTTCCCCATCCCAGTTTCAATTCTTTACAATCATATAGTTTTATGTCGGTCAACTTTTTTATGAAACATGTACAATGAACAAAATCGATTAAAGAGAAAACTTAACACAGGATATTATAATGAACACATTGCAAAGAAGTACAGCAAATTTGGGGCTTTGAGTATGACTCTCACTTTCATTTTATTTGTAATTAGATCTAATGAATAAACCAAACATGACGTTAAGATTTGTTCATTCAGTGTTTGTTTTAGTGAATGATGATCCACAGAGTCAATAAATACCATGACAAAATGTATCGCGTTAATGGTGCAAGTAAGACAATTGTCAAACGTGATGTATCGTACCCTTAACCTAAACAAATATCCGAGGTCCCGGACAGGTTTTAAATCTATGTAAATGAATCGGTTTCCTGTTCTGTCTCTTTTTGCATTTCAAGTCACATGGAAAACAATTTTCAAGCTAATATTGAAACATCATTAATTGTTTCAGTTTCAATTTTCCAATTATTTGATAACATAAAATGTTAAAACAATCCGTCAGAAACTAATTTAATCTATTATTCTGTGTTCAATAATTCAGAAGTGAAGAAAGAATAAGATAGCCCACACGATCAGTGTGTACTATAGTCCCAGTTGACAAAACAGGTTAACATATTCGTTTGTAAAGCTCATTATCTTAATTGTACATGTATTTTACAGGAACTTGGATTTTATTCTACAAGTGGTTATTCAACATACACCCACACCGCCTTTAAGGAGAATATCCTTAAAATCATTCATCATTAGTTTTGAATATTTTTCATATTTTGAACAAAGTGAGTTCGAAGTAACGTACCTATACTGAACTTCATAAAAATCCTTACGAACAGTTATATACATCAGGTTCCATTTAACAGCGATGAAGGGGAGGCATTAGGAGTATTGTACTAATATATATATATATTTGAGAAGTGAAGTTAATCAGAGAGAGACTTCCAAGGATCTTTTGGGAAAAATGAAATATCATAAAATTTGAGCAAAATTAAAATCATCAAAACTTACAACTTCTTAACTCTATAAATAAACAATTTTCCAAAATATTTAGAAATCAGATTTTGTGATACCAATGACATTAAATTTATTTACGGTTACAGTGGTCATTTTGCAAGTTAAAAAACCATTCGGAGTGACTGTTGATATGAAAAAGATGCTTGAGTTTCTGAATGACAATATCTACGTGGATTTTGGAGACTAGGTCCTCCAACAATCCATCGTGATTCTTATGAGTAATTACAGCACTCATTAGCAGACCTATTCACGTATATTCAAAATCTTAAATAAAAAAGAAGAAAAGACTTGCTGTGACCTTCAGGTCAACATTTAGATAAATCGACAACGTATTATCAATTAATCATAGCTACTTCCACGATAGTTCTCAATTAGCTTAAAATAAAAAAAGATATCACAATATAAAAATAAAAGATATCACAAAGTCTGACACATCTGTTACATATTTGGATATTTTACCAGAAAAAAGACGTAAATGGTAACATAACAACAAAGCTTTATGAAAACGTGATGAATTAATCTTTCCAATAGTTAACTACACTTACTTAAATAGTAATTAATATACCCTTATCACCTACATATGCGATTTCATTCTCTCGGTTATTCAATTCGCAGCAGCGTTTCTACATACGAATCAAGATGGGAAGCTATTGACAAACAATTTGATGAAACAAGAATTTAAACGGTTTTGTTTAAAGTCATCATTTTGCAAGTTTTATGGTCGATACAATGACCTTGTCAGCGAATACAATCTATGATTAACTCAAATGCTGACTGACAATTTTCATACTAAGTGTTAAGTCATTAATTACAAACTGAACAATCACAAGAGGGCCACAGCGGGTATGACTTGTCGGCAGGGGATGCTTACTCCTCCATGATGCCTGATCCCACCTTGGATGTTTAATAGAGATGTGTTTGACCCACCCTTGATTCGTACTGTTTAGCTTGAATACTGTTCGTTATCTCATAGATTTCATTAAATGTAATTTTTTTCTTTGTGGTATACTTTGTCTGACGATGTAATCCTCTCTTCTTTTATGTTTAAGACTGTATTGATCATTTACTAAACTCAGTCACTTCTTATACACCGATTTTCTTTCTTCATATTTCACTTACATTGATTCCGATTTGTTAAGATTCAATACAATAACAATCAAAACTGTTTTTAACCAAAAGAAAATCTTCACTTTTCTAATATTTACATTTCATAAAAGGCACATGCACAAGCATGGATATGCCGAGATAGAGTTGAATTGTAAAACAGGTATTATAATTGCTAGTAAGTAATTTTTATTTTCTTCATTTTCTCCACCTTCCAGCAGCGATAATTATGATATTATATTATCTTGGAATAACCGAGGTTCACAATGGCTTTCTTAATGTGAATATTTTTAATATTACACTAAACTGCATGCGATATATTTTTGAAATACAAGTTTTATGCAATTATTTGTAACATGAAACTCTGAGCCGATAAATTATGCGCATTGAACATAGTTTAGACTGTGTTACACGATGTTTATAAACACTTTGAGGGCACAGATTTCAACATCGAGAGGGTAAGTTCTATTATTATTTCACGACTTAGATTTAACTAATTAAGATCATAATGAAAGTATTTTCTTGAAAATTTAACCCAGTCCAATAAATTCTTTCACTCATATACAACACAGTTCTAAAACATGGAAGTAATTTTAATAGGAAACACGAAACACAATTTTTTCAGACTCTTTGATAATGACTGCCAGCAGTCGTAAGTTTGATATATAGGAAATGAAAAATAATCAATAAATAATAAATTCCAATGCTTAATAATCCGTGAACTTCAGTTATTAATTCATTTGCATCTATCCAAACAACCTATCATAATTGTTTTTTTTTTAAAATCACACTTTCAATCTTCCTATGACACAAATGTTCTAATGAAATGTTTTATTGTAAATGTGAGTTTTACATAGAAATGAATTTTGTTTTCAATGGCTATTTTCATGTTTTTTGTTTTGAAAACTATATTGAGATTCATTTTTAATTTTTCCAATTTATACCTTACAAACTGTTCATTCCGATGAGTGCTTGTAGAAAAATATTAATATCGCTTCTAATTACAGCATTGAAATCTCGTGATGCAGCCTAAAGTTCCATTAAAGGAATGAAACCCTATAGTTGCAAAATGAACATTATATCTATGGTTTAAAACTACATTTCTTAAGAATTGTAAGAATACAACAGACGATTAGTGATGAAAAGAAAATAATGCAACAAAAACTTCCATCAAAGACTTTCAAGTTGTACAAAATTTACTTTCACTGTAAAAATATCACAAATAATTTGGTGAGGTACGCATACTAAACATCACAAATAAATCAAGTCTCAGATACAAAAGGTTTGCATATAAACGAATTAACTGGAGTCTTAATAACACAGACATGAAAAATTTCCTTAGGGATATTGCAAAGCGACTCAGGGAAAGTGAAATAAATTTCCCTAACATAATTTAAACTCGCTCGTTATGTTCAACAAACACGGGTCTCATTCCACATCAGAACACCCTTGTGTCCATCGACCAATAATTGGTGAGATTTGGCTGTTCAACTCAATCCCCATGGCTAAATTATGGATTGTAACAGCAAAAGAACTTTCCGTAGCAATTTAACACGTAATGCCCCTCTCTCCTCTGGAATGACCACTGTTGACCTAACAAAAACCTACTCGTACACACTACACTTCATTTTCTACGTCTATTGATTTATCACTTTGTTTTTCCTCTATACTTCCGTTCAATTCGTTGTGCTTGATTGAATTTCCGTTCCAAAACTTGAAGCCCTGTAAATCCAGTGAGGGAATGGAAGGCCTCGGGGAGCGATCACGTGACTGGATATCACGTGACTGGTCACTCAAAAGTGGAGACATTGAGGTTTCTAACCTGACTTTGCCCTTTCGTTTGCCAAGTGTTGCTGAAAAAGTTATTGGAAACAATTATATTTTCATTCATATAAATGCATTTACATCGAACGTTCATCTTCTAAATACTTCTTGTTAGCTCAATCATTAGTGTGACAACTGTATGCAAATCCGCCATAAAAGAAGAGAAATGATGTAAATACAGGGCATAACTCAATCTGTTCAAAATAAACAACTGAACCTATTTAGCTCAAACTAGTAGTATTATTTTAAAAACTTTTAGACCCATATAGATCCACAGTAAAAAAAATTGTTTGACACAACCTTTTCCTAGCCAAGGGCTACGCAGAGAATAGTGCAGTAGTATATTTTAAACGTAAATTGTCAACTGAAAAGAGATTAGAGAATACTTATTGTAAACCAGTAATGCACAGTAATGCTATTTTACTCAAGGGCAATCAGAAGTTGGACGGTTATTCGCTATTCGCTATTCGCCATTCGAATGGCGAACCGCAGGCTGTCTGCCGTTCGCTATTCAAATTACCGTAAATGTCCTAATAATTTTTTTTTCAAAAAACCTTAATAACACATTATAATCCGTGTTTAAGAAGAAAAGCAAAGACATCACTTAAAGAAGAAGAGTGAGGACCCCAAACCAATGCAGCTAGCCTGACCAAAATGATGAATATTTAGCTAGCCCGGTCAAAATTGGAAAAAAAGTATGTACATAAGAGTAAATTACCCGGGGGCAGACTAACATCCTGGATCCCATATTTAGACTCATATCTTTTTACAAGGGAGGAATATGGGAGAGACCTTTCAAACCTCAAAACAAATTTATATTACAAGACCGGACACCTATTTAGCTAGCCCGATCAAAATTGGAAAAAACCCGTATAATGCTACAATAAGTAGAGGACATTGCCCGGGGGGCTGGATAACATCCTGGATCCCATATTTAGACCTTCATATTTTTACAGGGGAGGGGTATGGGAGGGACCCTTCCACTGTCAAAAGGAATTTATGTTACAAGAC